CACAATGGGCTATCTGTGCTCAGCCCACCACGGGTATCGAAACCCGGATTCTAGTGTTGTAAGTCCGCAAACATACCACTGTGCCACTGGGGGGCAAACGTATAAGGAACAGATACACACACATATTGACGTTATTTATATAGATTATGACAATATAAATATTTTAAATTAACACATCTTTTATAGGAAAAGACAAAAAACTTTGATAAGATGAAATATTTAAATCAGTTGTTGAGTTTTGTAGCGCTCTGTAAATGGCTGGGAATCTAGCCCCGTATTCTAGCATTGTAAATCCATAAATTTATCGCTGACTGACGGTAAAACTAAACTTTAGTTAACATTTAGAAGGCTATTTTTGACAGAAATAATTAGAGAACCAACAAATTTCAAGAAACATTTTACCTAATTCAAAATGCAAAAACATTTTAATGTTCACAAATATTAGAAAAAATCCATAGAAACTACTGGTCTATGTATTTCTGATGTTGTACGATTTATATTGGGAAGAATAGAAAACAAACTTCCTCATAGAGCAAACATTTGCATAGAAAAACTGTTTCGTTCTATCGAAGGTCCCCTGATGGGACAGCGGTAAGTCTACAGAGTTGACAACGTTAAAATACGGGGTTCGATTATCCGTGGTGGACACAACAAAGAGGCTAATGTAGTTTGCTGTAAAAACCAACCAACAAACAATTTCTAATTTCTAATTACAGATTTCTAATTGTGCTAGTTTGCGATGTGGCTCATTAGGTGGCTTACTTACTTAATATCGCATAGAAACTTTGGGCTTTCACTTTCCCCTCTTTTCTGCAGCCACTCTCTTAAAGCTGGATGTGAAAACATCAGACATTGGTCTTGACGTCTGACCAGAAAGTTATTAGTTATTAGTATGTCCAGTCGTTGACAGAAATCGTCCCATGTATAAGCTTGGTCAATAAATCCAGCATTCACAATATTGAATAATTGAAACGGGCTGAGAGGACAAAGGGATGCCAGAACAACTTGTAGCAGGGGTCTTACCTACATTGAAAAGAAGAAATAGAAGAATTAAACAGCCAGTGCTGAAAAAAAAATAATAAAGTATATACCACATTCGGTTTTTATTAGGTTAGTGAAAATGTAGACGAAATTTTAGAGGTTTCACAGTAGTTTATGCCTAAAACATTACTTAAGAACTTTCATAACATTGAATTTTTATTGTGTTTGTTTGTTGTTAAGCACAAAGTTACACAATTTTTAGAGTTACAAGTCCTCCGACTTACCGCTGAGCCACCTGGAGGGAAAAGGGGGCTAGAAGATTTTAAACTACTGTTAAATAGATTAACAATCATTAAGGAATGTCATTATCAACCTACTTTGTTTCAAGTAAAAACATCCATTCTACTTTAGGTGCTGGAAGCTCATACTTTATATGTACGAAAATAATTATATGTTATTGAGTACAGCATACTTAAAATTGACACAAATCCCAATTTCAGTGAATCACGACAAGATAATAAGACTCTGATATTATAGCTAAAAGTGATATTTAACTTACCCTTTCATACGCCTTGATAGTTGTAAATTTCAGATTAAATGACAATAGGTACACTTCACTCAAACTGACTGGCACCACATTATAGCTACTGCTTTTGACCACCAGATGGCCGTTCTCAATAAGATCTAATGTCAGTTTGAGATACAACATACAACCCTTGCTAAGAGACATCAGGTGATTCGCAAACCTACGAGAAACAATTGAAGCAAAACACGTGTCAAAGAAGAGAACATCACGCGAACTTGAAACAAACTGTAATGTTAGTAATTGTCACTAATTTCATAGGGTAAAATTGTAAACGCAGGTATGAATGTTAAAAACTTATAGACTGGTAAATAATATTACGTACGCGAATACATTAAACATCTACAGGCTTCGAAACGATGTATGTGACGGAACTACAGACGAAAATAACTTTAAAATTATATGCATTTCCAACAACGACCAAGTGAAACCTTAGCTGTCAAGAAACTGAAACTAAAGTTGGATACTAACTAATTCATCAGCAATTGAAATCTTTATAAATAAATAACATCAGAAAACATTTTTAGAACTCACCGTGTATGAGATGCAGCCTCTCCTTGTCCTTTATTTATAGTAATGTTTTCTCGGATAGAAGAGCTGGATCCTAACCTATACAAAACATAGTCGTATACATCACGTTTGAGATTATCGTTGCCTCCGAGCTTGTCTAATGAGATACGTTGAAAAGGCAGAAGTTTCGTAACTTCCTGGAAAGCTGTGCGTACAGTGACAATTACCTGGAACAACCCAAGAGCATAATTTAGTCCTAGAACAATCTAAGAGCATAATTTAGTCCTAGAACAATCTAAGAGCATAATTTAGTCATGAAACAACCCAAGAGCATAATTTAGTCATGGAACAACCCAAGAGCATAATTTAGTCATGAAACAACCCAAGAGCATAATTTAGTCATGAAACAACCCAAGAGCATAATTTAGTCCTAGAACAATCTAAGAGCATAATTTAGTCAAGGAACAACCCAAGAGCTTAATTTAGTCCTGAAACAAGAGATGATTGTTAACAACATGAAGAGAAAACAAGATAACACGTTCTTTACATGCTTATGTTATCAGGATTAATTTTAAATAATTTCAAGGGAAAATATACAAAGCAAAACAATGTACAAGCTCGAGAACATTTTTGAAATTCTACATTGTCGTTTAAGTAGCAGAATAAACAATGAATTTATTAATGTTGTTTAGTTATACAGGTCATACTAACCAGTAACAACCAAGAAAACAACACATAATCGGTGGGACGGGGATTCGAACCCGCGACCCTCAGATTGCAAATCGATCGCCCTATCTATCTATGAATATTAAACAATACCTGCATACGTGTGTGTATGCGTGCTGTGAAGGGTACTACTTGCTTCAGGGACCGTCAGAAAAATAAATTTGTTCTTACCTTCAACCATGACGGAAAATAGTTTATATGTTTAGCCAGGAAAGACGCAATCGTGTCACCAAAGTCTGGTTTATGGAACTCGGCTTCATTTAGCCCATCAATTACTAGAAGACAGGTCGTGTTAGGAATCTTTCCAAATTTCCTCAAAGTATTCAACGGCTCTAGTATGCCATGTACAAAGGCTGAGGTAGCATTGGTAACACAGGAGGCCACGCTTAACATTTGCTGGTACCTTTAAAGACAGGAATGTTTCATTTTACATGATAATTCTACATACAGTTTTATAACATTAAGCCTATATACTACTTAAATTGGACATATACTGTGAATAAGCTTTGCTCCCTTAGTTTAAAAACAATACAAAACAAATAAAAACTGTGGTTCTAGCATTAGCATTACCTAAAAAACAACTTTGATATGACTCTTTAAACCACTTCATCAGTTTACATCAATATTCTTCATCACTAATTTATTCACAGAGAAGTGCTTGCGGTAGTAAACTTTGGATTCTGATATCTTGGTTAATTATACTGATTGTTAAACTTAATAAATTCGACGATGTTTTTAGTAGCTTCTGTTCTTGATCAGATTTTGAAATGTTGATATTTCAATGATACACAATGTGGTTCAAGATACAAATATCAAAATTTTGAAAATAACTTGCTGATCTAATGTCACTTTAATCCAAAAAAGATACTAATATGACGTGTTAAATAAGATTTGATTAATTGCTAAAACATGACTTTACCTAATGATTTTTCACAATTTGATTAGTGTGGCTTTATAATTTTTTGTGTATTGGGATTTTCTGAATATAACATGGCATATATTTTTGGTGGCAAACTCATAGGCTGCTAATTTTGACCAGACGTATTCGTCCAATAATGTCTGATTATTACTTTTAGGGTTAAGGAAATGTTGTTTCAATAGTATTTTAAGCAGTGTACACATAGTAGAGAGCTGGTTTTAATGCACTGACAACGGCCTCAGTATAGAAACCAAAACGTAGTCCAATTCTAAAAACAGGCTGTATTTTAGGCAGTGTAGGCATAGTATAGATTTGGTTTTAGTGTATTCACAAAGGACTCAGTGTAGAAACCGAAACGTAGTCCTATTCTAAAAGCAGACTAGAGCATTCCATTAAAGCCAAAGCTCTACTAGGTTAAATAAATTTTACACACAAACCCGAAATAATGATACGAAATACAACCTTGAGGTCAATAATGGGAATTTTTCGAACACCTACTTGGCAGGGTAAAGTTTGTTTCTTGTAGAAAGAACTAAGTTAAGCTGATATTTTCACATCTTAGGATGAAGTGAAATATACAAGCAACATATTCATATATATATAATAACATTTTTGTTACCTTTTAATTCAATACTAACAGTTCAGAAACCGCGTGTTCTTACATTTATGCAGATCATAAAGTTGGGCTTGTGTGCACGCATCAGATTTGCCGTGCTTATAGTTATAATTCTGTAGAATAACATTACAAATTACAAACCTCGGTTCTTGAATTAAAAGTTCTCGATAGGCTACTAGTTGAGGCGCTTGGCATAGTTGAGCAGCTATGCTATGTACGAAATCGGGAACTAAGCAAGTGACATTGTTGTCAACTTGGCAGAAGTGGTACGCCACCACATGCCCCCCGAGAACGTGAGCAATCTCCTGAGTTAGGTTGAGTCGAGACTGGTAGAGGTAGGAACCCCCTCCACTGCTGACTGACATGTAGTCATTACTGTCACTGAAGATTATATCTGAATAAGGAACAGAAAAATAGAGTTAAATTATCACGTCGTGTACGAATAGGATTTTGTGAAATTAAACAATTTTAAAAGATTGATTTGAAACATTGTATAGACACTATCATGTACACTCCAATTGAAAGTCGACAGCCTGTTTCTATGACGTAGTGTTATGATGGAAGAAAAGCTCATAGTTCTGCTTTTACCACTACAAATTATTTGAAATTATTTTGTTTCAATACAATAACGTATAATGAATATACGGTCCTTAAGAAAGTACCCGAGATATAAACTAATATAAAAATGAGAGTCTACTTGAAGTCGATAGGAACTAAAACATGAAACTTGTTTAGAAACAAGTGAAGATCATTACAAATTTATCTTTTAATCAACTCGGTATTAAGACTGGTAGTCATTTCCAATTTTACTGGTGAACTTAAAACTCCAAACACTGAAACAAAATTGTGCAAGGATAACTATAATTAAAGTCTAATTTGTTCGAGAGCTTTGATAAGAGTACTCTAACGACTCTTTATTTTTTATATACACGTATATATACATTTTTAAACCACTTTTATTATAAAAACAGAGCATAAGTTCTTATTATGTCAGTTGTCAACACACGTGAAAAATATTTATCATGTGTTAGAAGTGATGGAGCGAGAAAATTCAGTTGGTAATAATACAAGTTAAGAAACTCCCTATCAGTTTTCGGCTACAGCCAATCGATTTGGCGAGATATCCAAGTCTTTACAAGAAAAGTTTGGTCTAGTTTTTGCATAGTCACACTTCATAACCTGACATTCGAAATCGTAAATATATTGCGAACCGCGGTTTCTGTTTGTTTGTTTGTAGTTAAGCAGACAGCTACACAATAGGCTATCTGTGCGCTGCCCACCACGGGTATCGAAACCCGGTTTCTATGGTTGTAAGTCCGTAGACATACCGCTGTGCTACTGTGAGGCTTCCCGTTTCAAAAGCTGCGCATGCAGGCAAAGCTCAACATTCACTTTCGAAATGACGGGAGAACAGGCACGAATAATGTTGATGCCAAACTTTATTTCTCAAGCAGGATATTCTACACTAAATTTTTAGGAATTAATCACACTATCATTCACATTTCAAAATGTGACGTAACTTAAAGAATAAAAACGTAGATTTACCGTATGTTATTTTTGAGTGGCTCTTAGCATGACTGAAATGCTAACAATTGCTTTTCGCGGTGGGGGGTATAAGTAGCTCAGAGCTTTGAGTGAAACCAAGAGTGCAACACAATTAACCTTTTCAATATCCGTGAAATAATTTAAAATGATAGATTAATTTAAACATTTTCCGTCACTGGGAACGGATACTTTTGTATAAATTAACATAAACTTTTCCGTCATTGGGGACGGGTACTTTTACTTGTTAAAGATATGTCGAAGCTAGCATGTCGCTAGAACTTTGAAATTTCTAGTAGACGATATTTTCCCGCACAAAATGAAGTAAATAAAAATATTAAAAAAACCCTTAATGTCCACTCATTCAAACGCTTTTTATATTATCACCTGCACGCAATATTAACCTGCTTATGTAGGCAAATCGTTACATGAGTCTACCAGTAATAGATTATCATATCCAAAACACATATATATACGAGTAAGAAAGATTAAGTCACATCCAATTCAATTAGAATTAACTATCTGATCAATAAAACTGATAGCAAATATTGAATATATTAAACTTAATATTAACATTATAAGAATCAGGGCCATGTATTAATGACGTCTCCATATGATAGGGAGGAGAGATATAGTGAAATGAGCCTAAACTGTGGCAAAGGATGGAGGGGGAGGTCTGTGACTAGTCGTTTATTTGTTTGTATGTATATACTAATTTTTCGTTTCTCTTTATATATTAACACTTTATGATATCTACCATTGTTTGATAAATAAAAAATATATAATAGTAATTTATATAAGAAAGTTGTTGGAAAGTGAAAATTATAATTTTCCTACACAGAAAATGTTTTTCTGTTAGATACTTACCTCCTCTCACACAATGGCTTTTCTTAATGAATGCTCCCTCTATATGCTCAATTTTGTTTGCTTGCCACTAGCCTTGATACTCCCCTCTGGATTACAGAGTGTAAAATCACTTCGAGATTAGGCACTCAAAACAATACACCGGAAGTGGGGAGGAAAGGTGATTCTAGTTTTACTAATATTTCTTAATGAGAAAAGAAAAGTAAAAATGAAACATTTTGTTATTACTCCTTCAACAAGAAGTAAGGATATCTGGCTTAGTGTGGCATCATCCAGAATGGACAGGGGGGATAAGGATGAAAATGTAGCCTATAAACATGACGTCATAACTGGGCATCCCCTACATGAAATTTTAAATCATAGATACGTAGTAGAACTATTCATCACAAACCATGATATATATGTTCATCTTTCTTAGGACCGAATATACTGTGATCAACAAGCTGTAACGCTATAGCTGTTTTCCCACTCCCAGGTCCACCAGATATTACAATTCCACCACTTTCCAAATTTAGCATCTGAAATTAAAAAGAAAAAAAATAAAACTTCGGATATACAGGGTAGATTACTAGAGACATTCAAAACAGAAGAAAATTTCAGTAAGTTACATTTAACTATTGTCTCATTCAAGCCTGAACAAGATTTGCGAGTAATGTTCAAGAAACAAGTTTATTTAATTAACATCTACAATGTTGTATATGTTCATTGTTATAGTTTGAAGCAAATAATCCCACAAAACACCAAATTCCTGTATTCACTACTAGGTGGCGCAGATGTGTAATAAGTTGCAAGTTTATGTAGACCTGATTTGTAAAACTGATATTTCATTGTTATAGTTTGAAGCAAATAATCCCACAAAACACCAAATTCCTGTATTCACTACTAGGTGGCGCAGATGTGTAATAAGTTGCAAGTTTATGTAGACCTGATTTATTTCATCTTTTACATAATTCACTATTATATTATTAGAATTTACTGTAAGTAAACTTCTAGACTGTAGCTATACTCACGTCACTGTATAGAATATACAAATGATGAAAATAAATATGTATGTAAAAACACAGTTTATTATACTGATCTAATGTTTACTTATACATTAAATCTGACCTCAAACAAAATAACAGTTTTACATTTACATTTCTTTTTAATCCGAAGATAAAATTAGCATAGTGAAATTATTTGTGCAAAAACAGAGTCCAAGTAAAAGCTAAGCTCTTTGAGGAAGTATTAAGTTTAAATACACTGACTAGCGAAATAGGATTTACTATAGCTCAAAACTGTTATGATTTGTTTGTTTGTAGTTAAGCACAAAGCTATGCAATGGGTTATCTGAGCTCTGTCCAACAAAGGTATCGAAACCCGATCTCTAGCGACGTAAGTCCGCAGACATCCTGCTGTGCCACTGAGGGACAAACTGCTATGGAAAAGCAGAAGAATTTTTGAACATGCATATTTTTATTAATATTATTTATTACTAAACTTTCCTAATAGTCTGAAATTACTGTAGTGACTTATAGCTGAAAAATTACAAATCTTTTGACAGTATACACAACGAGCAATATTAACGGTAATATAACATTGACTATTACTGTACCAAAATATTTATAAATACGTTTCACCATTTGTTATTGTTTCTCGACATAAGACATTAATATGCTTTATATTTGTGCTGTTTTAACCGTTTCTAATACGAGAAAACCTCATATTTTATTACCAACTAATTTAAATCAAAAACCTACTTGTTCAATTTCTTTTAGTAACCAATGTCTTCCAATAAATATAGGGTCAGGATCACTTTGTGGCACTTCAAAGAAGAGAGGTTGTAAGTTGATTATAGTGCCTTTGTAGCCATGGTTGAGGCCTGTTTAAAATAGTCAGTATATGCCGTTAACATGTTCATGTTGCTTTAACAGAATTTTTCTCGTAGACAATACTAACAAAAAATTACTTTGGAACACAAAGCTGATAATGAGAAATACCAGCGACAACTTTTAAAAAATATATGTATAAACTATTTAATCCAAAAATGGAGATGTTCATGATATTTTTGGGATTAAAACTTTTCTCAAGTGTTATAAAATATATGTATATAAATTTGTTTCTTGTAAAAAGACTTAAATTTAAAGTAATTTATAGTTTAGGATATTTTATATAGATAAGTACTTTGTCCTTAATTAAGGAATCTGTATATCAGTAGTACACTAGACAGGTCGTGTTTGTTTGTTTGTTATCAATTTCGCGCAAAGCTACACGAGGGCTATCTGCGCTAGCCGTCCCTAATTTAGCAGTGTAAGACTAGTGGGGAAGCAGCTAGTCATCACCATCCACCGCCAACTCTTGAGCTACTCTTTTACCAAAGAATAGTGGGATTGACCGTCACATTATAACACTCGCACGGCTGAAAGGGCGAGCATGTTTGGTGTGACGGGGATTCGAACCCGCGACCCACAGATTGTGAGTCGAGCGCCTTAACCACCTGGCCATGCCGGGCCGGATAGGTCGTGCGACCTCGTAGTAAAATAACGAAATTACTTAAACTCAACATCTCCATTCCCTGTTAAGTGTTCCTTAAGTACATTCAGGGCAGGACGTGGCTTGGAGGCTAGCGTGTTTGACGGATTTATTATTATACATTTATTTTAATATCGATGTTTGTTTAAATTAAATTAATATTTAGAAATGTACATAATGTATACTGTTAAACATGTATTGTGAAATTCTCGCCTATGTTCTAAGGTTGTAGAAAATTCTCGAGTGTAAGAATCAACAATATATGTATGTACGTAAACGATAGTGTAGCTTTGTATTGTTACGTAATCTGAATTTTCGAGAAACTCTCCACACGACTATAAATATAACCAACAAAAACAGTATCTATTACTGGTTTTCTATAAACTTCGGAGGCTATAACCGTGATTGTTATAACGCTTATTAATCGGAAAACTTCAGGTATTTGACCAGGAACATTTAAAAATTTCGAACATAACAAATCATTTAACTTCAGTGGATTCACTTCGGGCTATTAGTAGTTTTATAAAGATATTATATAACTTCATCGGTAAAAGAAACTTGACCTGTAATCGGCGTGTGATAAGC